TCCACAGTCTGCACCATATTGAAGCTGTACCTTTTACAGTTTACTTACTTAATAAAACTACTGTAGTTCATTTCAGAAAATCCATTCTGTTTTCTATTTTTATTCTATTTTTGTTATTCATAATGATTTTACTGATATAAAAACGTGTAACAAAAAATAGTGTTTTTTGGGGGTCCGGAACAGATTAAGGGCATTTCAATTTATTTCTATGGGCAACACTGATCTAACATACAAGTAATTTAAGAGTTAAGAGCTCCATCTCAGAACAAATTAAACTTGTAACTAAAGGCACCACTGTACATGTGTGGTCTCTACAGAAACATCAGAATCCTGTCTAGAAGCTGGTAAAAAAAACATTTCTATGAACAACTAACAGTTAGAGAAGAGAAAGAGAAAACAACGAAAGTGAAAATAAAGTTAGTTTACAAAGGTGGCAAGTCAGCGACGTCAAAATAATATTTGTGTTAAATAGGAGGAATAATGTGGTCTCTTTGTTTTGATATTGTTTTATTATTTATATATTTAGTATGTTGTATTCTTGATTAAATGCAGCTAAATAAACTAATTCAAAGGTAACAGATCTCTGTAATAGTTGGTTTATTTACATGACTTTAATTGGTGGATGCTCGGCCCCTCAGCTGTTGGCCTGCAGTAACTGTGGTCCCCCGGAGCAATTTAGCTGAACGGCCCTGTAATAAACCTTTGTATTCTGAAATTGCCAAAATGAGTTTATAAAAAACGATTTGGTGAAGAACATAAATGCTTACATTAAGGCTAGGGGTTGATTTGTTCAAGTTGAGTTTAAAAAAATACACACTGAATTATGTTAAACAAAAAAAAGATGGATTTTTTTCCCATCTGTATTAACCTCTTTTAAAAACACAGGAGTTGTACTGTGCAAACAATTTTCAATAAAGCAGTTATTGATTTCTTCCCGTATCTTTAATAAATCACCATAAATGTATGAAAAAGTAAGAAAATGCCTTTTTTTCCCCAAATAGTGCGATCCTCTTCACATTGTAAAAACAACCTGGTGATTTTCAATATAGAATCAAAGAGGAAGATGTCTTAGCAGGATATAAATGAATCAACTGAAGTAGGCAAATGTTTAAAATACTGATCAAGTGCTGTTTTACCAAATCAGAGTTGAAGAAAAAAATAGAGCCAATCCAGTGTGCAAATCAACTAAAGCTGGAATAAAGAAGGAGAGTCGGGGTGAATGCATAAACAGGACACTGGTGAAGAGGAATGACAGGAAGTAAATTATAGGTCAGATTAGCATATCATAATCAAATGCTCATTGCCATGCTGGTATGTTGATATGTCACACTTAATGTACGCATATACTGAATATATATATATGTGTGTGTGCGAAGGCGTGTAATGGATGTGTCATTAAAAGCATGTGATGGCTGTGCACAAATCAGAAGGTTGCCCTGACACYGACATCTATGACAGAGATAATCAACAGCACCTGCATTACTCCGACACACACGCAGGCATGTGATCTGCAGTCCCTCAAAGATAGCTAGTAAAATTTAAATTTATTGCTAGGTTTGGCGATTTTTTTAAAAGTTTTGACTTATTTTTGAAATACTTAAACTCTAAATTTCTTCAACTCACTGCATTACAAATAGAATATTCACCAAAACGTATGGAAACTAAACATTTTCAAACTCAATTATATACATTTTTAAATGGGTAAACACAAACAGTAACATATGCTTAAAAAAACCAATACAGCACACACACACACACACACAAACACACACATGCCCGATTAAGCCTCCCACACTAAACAAATTAACATGCCAGCTTTCTCTTGTTCATTACAAGACGTATCGTCTCCATAGAGACTAATCAATCACCACACCCCTTCAAAACAGCAAAGCTGTCAGGCAGAGCATGTGTGTTTGTGTGAGACTGAATTAGGCTGTAAAAAAAAAAAAGCTTGAGAAAATGCCTGTGGCGGACGTTGTCTGCCTTCCACCAGACGTTCAAAGGCAGCCAGAAACACAGCAAAGTTTAACTTCAGTGAACAAAGACTCAAAGTGACAAAGTGAGGGAGACAAGGAGAGTGTGAGGGAGTGACACACACTTAAGTTTGTATTTCTATCCTTATCGGGACTGTTCATTGGCTTCCATTCATTTCCAGTAATTTATACAGCCTAACCCTGACCATTTACCCTAAAACTAACCTAAACTCACTTCACACCTTAGTCCTAAACCGAACCCCTGACCCACAATTGGTGTTCCACCATATTAGGACTGGTCCCAACAAGGTACGTGTGTATACCAGAAACAGTCCTAAAAAAAGATAAAAATAAGTTAACACACACACACAC